CCCATTTTACTATAAGGAAATCGAGGCACCGGAAAGTTAAGAAACGAATTCAAGGTCTCACAAAGTGGAGGAGCTGGGATTTGAACCCAGGCAATCTAGCTCCAGAACCTGCACTCCCCCACTACCCCGACTCACACACACCCTGTTTGTTTTTCAAACTTTGTTATGTAGGCTGACATACACAGAATATTTTTACATGCCGTACATGTAAAAAGTGTTAACCATTTAGCTTATTGATTATCACAAAATTTAGGGCCCATATTCTTAAGCACTCTAGCAAACCATGTATGTGGGTTTTGATGTCAGACCTGGTTCGAATCCAGTTTCTGTTACTATGTGACCTTGGGTGAGTTACCCTGCCTCTCTGAATCTCATAGTTTGTTCAGTGTATTTGTCAGGCTTGTGATGATTAGAGCATGTGATAACATCTAGCACATTTGGTCACAGTAAGTGTTTGCTAAATAGTTTCTCTTAATAATTAAGATCATAAATTATGTTGGCTTTGTTAAGTAGTCTACTCCTAACCTGTTAGTTGCCTCTCAGTCACTTCATGGGTGATGACTAGTAGATGAAACGTTTTGGGGTCGTGGAGAATCTCCCATGCATTGAGAGTCCTTAATTTAAAATGTCTCACCTGTGCCTTTTAAATAGAACAACCCGAGGGCAGTGTGACTTAAATGTCTGTTCCTTAGGTTTGTAAAAGAGACTTTGGGGACCCTCAGCAGTTAAACCCCAGTTTCTGTCTGGTTTGCTGATGGACCAAAACTTATTTAAACAATACTGCATTAAGTTCCAGGTGCCTAAAAGTTCCCGTTTACCTTCCAGGGAATATATTGAGCTAAGAAATTATTTTTTTTAAGGATTTTTGTCCTAAAGAATAACCCACTTAAAAATCACACTACTTTTATGGTGACTTTTCTATTCTACAAAATGCAAACTAACCCAGTGTTCAGGCCGCCGTGCGGGCAGTGCAGAGTGAGCACTTCAGAGTCAGATCCAGGTCGGCTCAGCTCAGCTACTTTGTCACGTGTGCCTTCCATGCCCCTGTCGTCTTGTCTGTGAGGAGGGTACACAGGCGGCGGGTGTGAACACTGGACGCCCAGCACACAGCGCACACTTGGTGAGCAGAGGCGGCTGCTCGTGGTAATTGTTAATGCCGAGGCACCTGAGACCATTCTTCCCAGAACCCTTTCTGCCTGATCAGGCAAGTTAGAAAGGGAGACTCAGGTGGTAGGTGCTAGTGGGGCCCTAAGGCAGGCTCACGTGCGGGAGAGGCCGCACAGACCCGTGGGTTCTCCTCGCCGGTGGACCCTCATTTTGGAGGCTCGATGGGCCTGTCCGCCGGGGTCGAGGGGAAGGTCCGGTGGAGCCACCACTCACATGGGGAGGCTGGTAGTCCTCCAGAATTCTCACCAGGAAACGAAGGGCCCCCAGGAGGCCTTGTGGAGAGTGACGTGGGCGTTGGGGAGGGGAGACTCAGTCGGGGCCCTGCCTGCAAAACGGGTGGGTTGCTGCGCCAGGCACGGGCCGGAATCGTCCCCGTCTGCAACGGGGCACAGCCAGTCTCGTTCACAGGAGGGCTGACGACTAGTGGTGCACCATGTCCGCGTCGGCTGGGTAAGCAGCACAGCCCACCAAGGGGCCCTGGGGCACATGCGGATTTGAGCCCCAGCGGCTGCCACGTGGAAATGGGGACTTTGGGCGGGCCGCGGGCCTCAGCTTCCTCCTCCGTGGAATGGGCTGTCACGGGCACCAAGAGCTTAGAGCCGTGCCTGGTGCTCATCACGTTGTGGTTTTATGGTGGTGCCCTGGTGCCATCAGGTGTCGCACACCTGGTCCTGCCCTCTTCACACTGGCTCTGTGAGAGCTGTGCCCTCGGAACACGGCTGTGCGCTTGACTCAAGAGTCAGGACGAGAAGTCAGTGGTGGAGCTGGGTGACGGGGGGCTGGGCGGCGGAGGTCAGGGCACAGCAACGCCCGGTGCTGATGGGGGTGGCGAGGAGGCGGCTGTCCTCCGCAGTGTCTGGGGCGCCCAGACGAGGAGGGCTGCGCTGTGGCACGTGCCCCGTGGATGGGAAGGAGCCACAGGAGAGAGACTGCTGGCCGGGTCTGCGTGCGAGGCCGGCGTCACTGCTCCCTGAAGCCACCAACGAGTGCATCTCTCCCCCAGGAACATAACGAAATCATTTTGCTGTGGCTTCGTAAACGATCTATTTGCTTATGAAGACTTGGTCAAGACCTAGTCCTGCTGCTGCTTAAGGAGGAGAAAATCAAACGGCTGCTTCCGGATGGGACTTTTCTGAAGCATCAGTCACCGTCCGCTTTCTGACTAGTGCTGAACTGAGCCGCGGCCCCGGCGGGTGAAGGCTGTCGCGTCCCTCAGGACCCAGTGTCGTGGCACGCAGATCAAATTCAGATGGCCTTGCTGCCTGAAATGAAAAGTCTCCCTCTCATCCGCACTTGACATCTTGTGTGATTTTCTCTGGTCTGGGAGGCGGCCAGGCACCATCACACGTGTGTCGAGCGCGTCCGTGGCTGTGCCGGGCTGTGCCGGGCTGTGCCGGGCTGCATCTGCATCTGCAGCCGAGCCCGCGGCTGCACACTGCTGCGGTCGCTCCCGCGGGGCTGTGTCCTGGGGCCCCAGTGGTGTGGACTCTGGGAGGAGGCCGTAGAGGGAGGGATCGTTTTGCTGTCCTGTGCCATCAGTTGCTGACCGCCGTCCTCGCTGGCTCGTCGGGCAGTGGACGTGATGTACGGGGGCCGTCGCCCACTCACTGTGTCTCGTCCACGCGCCCTGGGAACGCGGTGGGGCAGGCTTCCTCCCTGTCTCGTCAGCCCCGCTACTCACCATATTCTTGGGACAGGACCCTGCTCACAGCAGGTGTTTCTTGGGTGGACTGTTGAAGCCCGCTCACTTAGAACGCAGTCGTTAGTAATAATCGATTCAGCAGACAGATTTTTGGGTCCTGAATCCATGTCGGGCATTTGGCCAGGCAGTGGCGTCCAGAAGCTTCGAGCACTGTGCCTGCCTGAAGCTGAGAAGCCTGTGTGGAGAGGCCTGGGAACAGCTGTAAATGCAGTTGTTTTAGGTGGGGCGTGGCCAAAAGAGCCTAGGAGGAAGGAGGGCCTGCAGCTTCCTGGGACAGTTAGGAAGGCCTCTTGGAGGAGGTGGCCTTGGAGCTGTGTCTCCCTGTGGCGCCTGCTGCCGGATCCCCAGGGGTGCTGATGGCCACACTGGGAGAGCGTGGCGCAGATGAGAGAAGTCAGGGTGGCAGCACGAGGCTGGCGAGGCTGGCACGGATGGACTGGGAGGGCCCTGTGCCAGCTTAGGGAATTGAGGCTTATTCTGTCGTTAGAAAGCACGTGACTTGGAGGCAGGCTGGCATCTGCAGCCTGGCCTCCTGGCGGGCTCCCAGAGTCCACCGCGAGCCCGTCTGAGAAGCACGCTCTTTGTGCAGCCCACCCCCACCCCCGGCCCCCTGGGCTCCAGCCGAAGGCAGGTGCTCTGGAGTGTGGCTTCTGGTTTTATGGCACGGGTGGCACCAGGTGGAAGGGTTTGAGGGCGGGTGGCCTTGGCCCTTGCAGAGTTTGGTTTTAGAGTGTTGCAAGCGGAAGTGCTTTTTCCCTTTTAGGTTTGTTTCCCTGAAGGCGACACCCTGTTCCTGAGGTTTAAGGAACTTAAGCTGGACTTGGAACCGGTGGAGGCTCAAAGGTCGCTCCGCTCCGTGTCTCCCTGAGAGAGGCCCCCTGGGCGCTCTCCTGGCCGCTAGGGCGGAGGACGGAAGAATGGAGGAGGAGGGAAGAATGGCGGAGGAGGCCACCCCAGCGGGTTGGCCTGTCGGGCCTGCTTCGTTCTTCCCTGTGCTTTCATCTGGGTCGTTGGGAGGAGGGGTCCTCGCTAGGTGGTCCTGTCGTTCTAGTGTCACAGTTGCGGTTTCAGTTCCGTCTTGGCAGGCGATTCGTCTCTTCATGGAGCGAAAGTCGAGGGCATTCACGTTTCCTGGGCGCTGACTGTGTCACGTGCAGGTAGCTGGTGCTCTCACCAAACCTTGTCGTTTCATTAATGCTCAGGCCCGCCTGGGACTTCTGTGGCATGGCCCGTGTCCCTGCTGGGGAGCAGGGAGGTCGAGACTCAGAAAGGTTGAGTGTCCCCCCTGAGGTCGCCTCAGCTGGTCAGTGGCAGAGCCAGAATTTCCGCCGGGCCTGTGTCTCAGCTCCCCCGTTCGGGCTTTTTGCCAGTTTGACCTGTGGAGTGTTGCTGGTGTTTTGATAATTCTAATTACCTTTGACATTGGCAGAGGTTAGCTCTTAACTATGTGCTAAAAATGTTTGTTATTGCATTTTCCTTTTAGTTGAAAAAAAGAACTTTCAGATCTCTATGCCTTTGACTCTCCTTGTTCCTGGTGGGGACCCTATTGCTTCACAGCCAAGTGGAGGTTCAGTTCAGGGCTTTTCCTGGAGCGGGGTCCCAGAGACAGTTTGCTGCGGACTCGGGAGAGGCTCAGCCCAGGAAATTCAAGGGACCATGGACCGCGAAGCATTTAAAATGTGTTCCCGTGTGGTGAGGTGGCAGCCAGGTCCTTTCGGAGGGTGGCCGAGCGTTTCCTCTGTAGGTTGGAGAAGCACTTTATTTTCTGCGGCACCTTCGTAACTTCGTTTTCGCGTTAAACCGATTTCGTGTGTGTTTGTTTCGGGGTAGCGCAGTGTGGCTCCACCCCCGAGTGGCACCCTCGGCGGCTCCACCCCCGAGTGGAACACGGTGACGAGGCACCCTCTCCTTGCTCCCTGGGTCGTATTTCAGGTTTTCTGTGCAGTCCGGGCTGTGTTTGGAGTCTGGTTTCCACACGTCCCTTCCAGCGCCGTGCTGACCGGATGCTTCAGTTTCTGGGAGGGAAGGACTTGACCCCCTCCTCCCTTTTCTGCTTTTAAAGGATTCCCTTCTGCTGTGCTGACATTGAGAGGCAGGCCAGGCTTCCTGAAGGGGAGCAGGAAGGCCTTTTGCAAAAGCCGAAGTGACATCCAGAAGAGAGTGGTTGTCATCGTTGCTGTGCCGTGTGCTTCGTAACCGCGGCTACCTGCACGATGGTAGCGGCTACGAAGGGTACGTGCTGGGGGCCGGGGCCGCCGAGCGCTTCTCCCACGGTCCTCTGTTCAGTTGTCCCAAGGCAGTGTGGCGGAGCTGGGATCAGAGCCAGGAACGTCTAAACCCAAAGCCCCGTCCTCTGTGCTGTTCTACTCCGTGGATTAAATACACCACCAGATGTCCCATTTTGACATTTTAAAGCAGGGGTCCCCAACACTCGGGATACGGACCGGTACCAGTCCGTGGCTCGTTAGGAACCAGGCAGCACGGCAGGAGGTGAGCGGCGGGCGAGTGAGCGAAGCTTCATCTGCATCTGCAGCCGCTCCCCAGTGCCAGCGTCACCGCCTCGGCTCCACCTCAGATCGTCAGGCGTTAGAAGCTCACAGGAGCACCGGTCCCTGGTGCCACAAAGGTCAGGACCGCTGTAAAGCACAATAGAAGGTGGCATAACATAAGCCAAGGTTCTCAGTCCGCTGGGGACTGTGCTGCCCAGGCTGGTGTACCTCTCACCCCGTCTTCCCAGCCCGAGTCTTAGGCCAGAGGACAGTGGGCAGGGCCCTAGACCCACGTGTGGCACGCTCAGCGTTGACTCTCCTCACGTCTCCATTGGAGGTTTGTGGTTTCTGTTTTCCCTTTACTGATTCCTGTCCTCACTGAGCCAGCCTTCTGACCTGGGTTTTTATAACTTCAGACTAAGCCATTCACCCACGAAGTATGGCCTATTTAGGGGTCAGTCCCCTATATCCTAGCCCTGCCGCTAAATAACAGTGTGACCTTGGACCTGTTTCTTAACCTCGCCAAGCCCCAGTTTCTTCTGTGGTAAAGGGGGTAGGACGCCTGCCTTGTAGGCCTGTGACTGAAACATTAGTGGAAGGCCACTGCTGACTTGGATGTGGTTGGGTAGTCTCCCTGTATGTGGCATATGCAAATAATCTGGTTGGTCTCTGTCTTGAAAACATCTCGATCTTTATTGTGTCAGAACAAGTTGAATCTTGACTTATGTATGGGTTATGCATTGACATACTTTTGACAGAGGTAGCCTGTATATAATTTTAAAAAGCACAAAAACCAGAAAGCTCTCTCTGCCTGGCACAGCCCTCATCCTCCCAGTGCTACCCTGGGGGTCAGAGATGTGACTGGTGGCGGTCACGAGGGCGGCCAAGGCGCTTGTCTTCCATATGTGGTACTGCGTGTATTCCCTGAGTCATCTGCCTGTCATTTTATGTCATGGTAGTATATGTGAGTACTATAACTTCTGGTCCTAAATTACAACTTGAGTGCGTAGGACTTTTTTCAAGGGTTCCCCATCGAAAGGTCGTCAGGACCTTTGAGCTCTGCGTCAGAAGAGTGGCGTATTTGGCCTTTGCGTCCACTGCCTTACTTTCCATTTCGATGTTTTTCCTAGTTTCTCCTTGGACCAAGATGACTGATGGAAACCCTTCCAGCTCCACAAACGGTGTGGCCTTGACGGGCGTTCTGGACGGTCGAGCAGGACACCACACTCAGACCCTGCAGCACCTGCCTCTCAAGGTGCCCAGGTCCCGCTCGTCGCCTGAGCACGGGCCCAAGCCGAAACTCGGCGCTTTGGACCAGCACAGCCTTAAGTCGGTGGACTCCGGCATCCCTACCCTAGAGATCAGCAACCCGGAGCCGGTCCCCTGCAGCGCGGCCCATGGGAAGAGGAAGCAGTCCGAGGCGGAGCTGGGCGCCGAGCGGGCCTGCCACAGCGCAAAACACATGCTCACCTAATCTAGACCACAGGCCATGAAACTGAGATCCCAGTGTTAAAGTTTAGGAGTTTAAAAACAAGGTAAATATATGAACAAGAAACTTATATGAGCTCCCTCGTTCGCGCCGCCCGCTCCCGCCGGCGCCGAGCGGGAACAGGGCGTGCGGAAGTCGTCCACGTTCCCCAGGACGGGCTACGATGCGGTGAGGCTGTGCGGCCTCACCTCCAGCGCCCTGAGCCGCAGCGACGACGTCTCCGTCTGCAGCGTGTCCAGCCTCGGCACAGAGTTGTCAACCACGCTCTCTGTCAGCAATGAGGACATCTTGGACCTCGTGGTCACGAGCAGCTCCAGCGCCATCGTGACCCTGGAGAACGACGATGACCCACAGTTTACCGACGTCACCTTGAGCTCCATCAAGGAGACCCCTGACCCGCAGCGGCGGGACTGTGTGGACGACACCGAGGAGGGAAGTAAATCGAAAATACTGGGGCCGTTCAGTAACTTCTTCACCAGGTAATGCCCTTCGCCTCCCCGGGAGGTCTGGGCTGTCGGGTTCGGGCCGTCGCGTTGCTCAGAGTGAAGCGTGATGTGCGCTTCCCGCCCCGTCGAGCAGGCGCCAGAGCCCTGTGGGTTTGGTCCACTGGCGATTCTGCTGTTTGATTCCTCCTGACTGGCTGTCACTTCTGTGTCCCTGGCTCACTCCCACAGTCTGTTGTCACTTCTCAGCCTCTGACCTGCTGTGACTGAGGGTGACCCGCAGTGGTCTGTGTAACCAAATCCAGCAACCTCACTCTGTCAGCCTTCCCCTCCGAGGGGCCCTTTACGCCCATAATCCGAGTTTCATGGGTGGCCCAGAGGGTGCGGCTGATGGTGGCATCAGCGTTAGCAGCTCACTGTTCGCGTAACCCAGGGCCGGCATTCCCGGGCGTCCCTGTGTGTCCCCTGTGCTCCTGCATGGCTATGCGCCTGTGTTCATGTTCTGGCCCTGCTGCTGAGGTGTGTGCTGCCACGCGCATCCGTACCTGTCACCCAGGTGCCAGGCCAGGGCTGCTGGGGTCCCTGTGTCTTACCCGGAGCTCCCTGGGGACAGGGCCTACAGCACCGGCTTCTCATCTGTGCTCTCATGTTTTCGCTCAACAAGTGTTTGTGTCCTAGGCTCTGTCTGCTCTTGGCAGCTAATACGGGAGTCATGAGGCGTAGAAATGGTCTTGGGCAATGGCTGGGGCTGGGTGGTGGAAGTGGACACGTCGGTCAGTCACACAGCGAACTTGAACTCCCACCCCGCGGAGCGCCGTGAGGAAGGGCGCGCGCGGGCCATGGAGTGTGTGCAGGGAACGGTGCTCCGCTCCACAGCTGCCTCTCGGGGACCTGGGGCCCGGCGCCAGAGCTTAGTGTTGGGGGGCACTTCTGTGGTTGACCCTGGCTACTGCGGATGCGTGTGCCCCTTGCAAAACCCATGTTGCACACTGTAGTACTGGGTGTCCCTTCGAGATGGTGTGACTTGATGGCTGAGTCAGCCGGAGCCCCCTGTGGCCGTGGGCGCGCCCCCAACCGTGGCCTCAGTCGCTTCATCAGCTGAGTGTGGGCATCATCGCCGATGAGTCTGAGGCCTGTCCCGCGTGAGACGGTCTCTGACACAGGCCGTGGTTTTGTGGGGCACCTGTTCACTCTGCTGTGGCGACAGACAGATACGGCGCTACTGCAGAGAGCTCCCGGTCTCTGAATTCAGTAATTTATCACTTGCCTTCATCGGAGGAGCCCAGGAACTTCAGGGGAGACTCGTCGCTCTCCCTGCTGAGACCATAGCCCTAAAATCGTGCTGTTGCAGTTCAGATTTGTGTGGTGAGACCGATCTCTGCTCGGGTCAGTGTTTCTAGTGTTTCCTGTTTATGAATGAATGGCGCCTGTGCGCCTGTGAGATATGGCTCCTCGGAGGGATGTGGGGGACAGGTTTTCAGAATCCCTTGGATTTCTTGGCACATTGGGGGAGACTCACTCAAAATGAGGGTGGCTGGGAAGCAGCCTAGAGGAAAGAGCTTAGCTTTGGACTTCAACAGACCTGTGCCCCTGTCCTTGCTGTGTGACCTTGAACAAGTCACTTCACCTCTCTGAGTTAGTTTCCTCATCTCTAAAACAGCATTGGTAAGTGCCTAGCACGTGACGCCTAACGCAGTTCAGGTACGTCATACTGTTCGCCTTCACTGTCCTTGTCATCATCTGCTTCTGCCTCAGCCTCCTCCTCTGTCACATGGGGGTGACGAAGACTGCCTTCCCGCGGTGGCTGTGGGCGTGAAGTGGGTCCACACGTGCGAAGCAGTACCGACACAGAGCGAGCAAGCTTTGAGGTGCCAGTGCTTGTTGTCGCTGTCGTGACTGCTCCATGGTCTCTTCGCTGCCTTCGTCACACCGTCTGGGTCGCAGCCTCTCCTCCTCGACGGGAAACACCGTCAGTTACTGTGGGTCCTTCCTAAGGCTCTGCTTCTCGAAAATTCCTTTCAGCTTTGTGCCATGGCAATCAAACATCTCCTCTTTTAGCCCTCGGTTCTTGTCTCCTTAGCCTTGTTTTGATGGCTGTGACATTATTGTGAGCCATCACTAAGGACCTTTGGGAAGCGGATGGAATAGTAATGACAAATGAATCGAGTCTGTGATATCACAGGCCAAGTTTGGTGAGTTTCTTAAACTCTTAAAGTGTTAGAGGAGTTTCAGTCTGGAATTCCTTTGAAGGGGAAAGGGTTCTGTGCCAAAAATATTTGGAACCCACTACGCATTTTACAGGTAAATAAATTTACAGGGGAGTTACTGGGAGGGCCTGGCACACAGTAGGTCTTCAGACTAGGGTAGTTTTTGTTGAGGGCTGGTCCTTTGGGGTTCCCAGCCCAGGCTTCCTAGCCACCCATCCTGTTTCTCCACCTTACCTCGAGCCCAAGCGACTCCTGTGGCCTGGTGCCTGTCTGTACTCCTTACCCTCCCCGAGTCCATTTCCAGGTTGCAGGAAGAAGGGGGCAGCATCGTGGGAGGCTGGTCCCGGAGAAGGGGATTCAGAGGAAGGGCGGAGATGGCCTGGAGCTTGTGGCCTGAAGGAACAGACCTGTTGATCCTGACGGCCGAGGAGGGTGGCCTGGGTGAGATGGGGCTGGCTGGGCCTGACCACTGCCACCGGGAAGCCGCAGGCCAAGCTCCCACTTGTCCCTTTGATCCCTTCTTCACCCAGGCCGTGGTGAGCGGCTCTGTTGCAGACCCCGCCCTGAGCTTCGAGATGGTCCCTGCCCTTGGGGAGCTTGCCATTGGGGAGGGGGGCCAGACCAGACACTGCGGGGTTGGGGGAATGAATGCTGTCATGGGTGTGTGTGAGTGTGTGAATGTGTGAGTGTGTGTGTGGGGAGGTACCAGAGGCAGCAGTGCTGGTTCAGGAGTTGTATTAGCTGAGCTCAGTGTGAGTTCTCCTGCGTCATAGGCGTGTGATCTTGGGCAAGTTTCTTCGCCTCTCTGAGCCTGAAGTGGAGCATAGAACTACTGCACAAAGTTAGACATCAGATAAGTAAAGCATCAGGCTCACTTCCTGGTACCAGACAAGTCGTAGCGATCTGCGATTCTACGACAAGTAATTATCGTGTCTAAAAAACGCGTTTCCTAAAGCGTTTTCTAGCTCTTATCCCGGTACAATGCTTACTTCAATCAACCCATTCTTGAAAAAGTTAGATCAGGATTTCTCCACGTTGGCACGGTGGACATCTTGGGGCGGAGGAGTCTCTGGGAGAGGCTGTCGTACACTGAAGGCTGTTTAGCGGCATCCCTGGCCTCTACCCACTGGATGCCAGTAGCACTTTCCAGCTATAACAACCAAAAATGTCCTCAGCCATTGCCACATGTCCCAGGGGAGTGGGGTGGGGTTGGGAGAGGGGTGGACAAAGTCACCCAGCCTTTGAGGACAGACTAGCAGGTTGAAAAATGTTGGTATTTAATTGCTTCCTTGAAGGAAATTTACCACCGTAATGTAATTTGCGCAGGATCCTCATGCTTTGGGGACAGGGACTCGTTGAGGGATCCTGTGAGCAGGCGTAGTTTCAGCGTTTGTCTCGGGGCCCAGGCAGCAGGTGTGAGAATTCAGTGACAGGCTTGCGTTCCTCAGGAGACAGGGCTGCTTCTGAGAAGCCTGGGGGTCAGGGCCGCTGAGCTACTTCGGTCTGGAGGGTGGGGATTAGCTCTGACCACTGACACCTTCTTTGGCGTCGCCCTTGTTCAGCTCTCCGGAGAGATGATCCGAGACTCCTTGGCTGAAGAGAGGAGGTGGAGCTGCATTTGAAGGATGCACAGGAGGTTGGCGAGTGACGACAGGGCCCAGAGGGAACAGCTCGCGGAGCCTGGGCCGTGCGATGCGCCCGGCC